GATTCCCCGCTGCACCGTGCGCGAGCTGGGTGGGTCCGTGGGCGAGTCACGGCTCCGCGCCTTGTTCCCTGCCTTGGCGGAATGGGGCGATGACAGCACCTGTCACAGAGGCCGTCATCACCGAAGGGACTTAGGTCAGAGCCTGGCACGCGGACAGTGCTTGGCCTCAGCCCTGATAATGCCATCGCGGAGAGATGGCAAAACCGTTCAGGACTTCAGCCGTCAGCGCCTCCCTTCTTCACCGGCTAGGGTCTGTCTCTGGGCCGGCCTGGCCAGGGACAGGGCGCTCCTCTCCAAACCTTCCCGCCCATGGTCCTGCACTACGAGTCATCTGAAAGTTAGTTTGCTTTGACTACCCAAGAAGAAACCCTCTGCCAGGCGACCCCGGGCGGGGTGGTGCGCGCACCTCTCTCCCAGGCCCAGCGCCTTTGCTTCCAGACGCCGGCGGCTTTCGGGGGAGGCGTCGGCTGCAGCGCGCCGCCTAGTGGCCCCCGCGAGTACGCGCTCCGCCCGGGAGGGAGGGGCCAAGCGCAGCCGCCAGCCACCCCGTGGGGGACCTCCTCAACTGCTTTGAAAATCGTAATTGTTACAAAATAGGTACCTTTTATTCGGCCAAATTAAAGGATCTGTGCGTATTCCTTTTAATCCCACAGGTAGTTATTACTTCCACTTTACAATGGAGGAAAGTGATAACTTGGAAGGTTCTGTAAGTGGCCCAAGATCTAGCAGCAGGGCAAATATCAGCAGCCCCGGGGACAGGGTCACATTATGGGCTGGACTCTGGCTTTCAGATCTCTGCTTCCTCCACACACTTCTGGTCGGGGTGAAATGAGAGGCGCCTCCGGAAACCTGTGCAGCCTCCACTGAGGGCCAGGCTGGCTCTAGGACAGATCTCAGAGTAGCACTAGGACACAAAGTCCACGAGGCCTGCACAGCATCAGGTCCTTACACCCTCAAGACATGGGGAGTCTTGACCAGTAGCCCCTCTTCCCCAGTCTCATGAACGTATCTACTTAACCAGTAATGACTGTACGTCTGTCAGAAACTTAGTACTGATTATATTGTGGCAAACAGTAAAGACAAGGCCCCTCCCTAGGAGAGACTCTTGTGGGGTCTTCTTCTTTAATTCACAGCAACACCCCTCAAAGTGAGTCGGATGCACTCGGTGGGTTCCAGAGAAGCTACTCCAGAACTGTCTGCTCCTCACCTCTGCTGGGGGAAGAGTGGTTCAGGGCGCAGCACTTAGATATGAGAGCTGGTGAGAAACCACACTTGCAGTGACTTGACAACAATAACAGGTGAGTGGAGAAGCGTGTGGCCCCTGAGACAGGGGTGCCATACATTCCCAAAGTGCCAACCCCCCCACACCTCATGCCAGAGTCCCCAAGGAACAGCACAGCCTTGGATCTCCCAAGAGAGCATATAGGAAGGGTGGGGGTTTTAGGCTGAAGAGGAAAAGAAGGCAGAATAGACTACCTTCCTTTTGAGCAACCTCCTACACTTCCCCCACCCCCCAGTAAGAACTTTAAACTAAGCCATGACACCTGGTACTTGGGCTAGCTTGGCCTGCTTGATGCTGCATGTCCCTGCCTAAATAGCAATGTTGTGGAACGTTTTTTGTTTGTTTTGTTTGGAGGAACCAGGGATTGAACTCAGACCCTTGTGCTTGCCAAGCAAGCACTTATTCTACTGAGCCATCTCCCCGGCCCCTGTGGAACGTTTTAGAAATCTCCAATACCTCACTGGTAGGGATGAGGTATATAGGAGCAGATCCTGTAGTCCCTGCATGTCCTGACTCTGCTGGGTGCCCTCCTGAGTGCTCTGACACAGTGCCCTTGACCATGTGCCCCTGTCCAGGGGATGATAGTCAGATGCAAGTCTTAGTACCTGTATGCTTGGATGTGGTTCCTGGCAGAGCTTAAGAACCCAAACACCTATTGTCTTTAGAGCTATCTGCCTATTTGTGAGTTCAGATGTGTGTGCCGGTACATGTGTTTGCTTTTTTTAGTCTGTGGGTGTCTCTGTGGTGGCCTATCTGTGTACATGTGACATTCCTAGGAGGAAGGATCACTTTGCACCTGCGTGTCCCTGCGTGGTGTGTTCACTGTGTGTACCTTTGTAGATATGCTGGGGCGTTCCTATAACTTTGTCTAGGGGCGTGCGTCTGCCCGTGGGGCTTGCAGTTTGTGGATGGGTGAAGCCTGCTGGGTGTGATCAACTATTGACTCATCTACTGCCCTGGCCTAGGCTGTTCCAGGCCTGGCTATAAATAACCCACTTACCTTTGCATACCAAGACCTTCCTAGGTTGGTCAAAGTCCTTGTTCAGGGAGCCCCACTCCACCCATACCCACCCTCCTGATGCTGAGTGCCCAGCCAGAAGGGGGTGGGGAGGTGACTGACTGCATGCACTACCTCCCCAGATGCTCCAGGAGGAGGTTACAGGAAGGTGTCCTGGCTGCACTGTTTTGCTGCCCTGCTGCAGACCCAGCTGGGTCTGCGTAGAGGGGAGGCTTTCCTTGCTTCTCTGCCTTTGCCCTGCTAACCTGCTCCCTGTCTAGCCACAGGTCTGGCCTCCAAGGCTCTCTCCTCCAATCTGTAGGACACCTCTGGGGACAGTTGGCCCTACTGCCCTCCCCCTCTCCTCAGGCAGCTGAGTCTAGCTGGACCCTTCTCTTCTGTAACCCCTTCCTGAAGCAGCTGGTGTCACTTGTATTTGAGAAGTGATTCCAGATACCAGCTCTGAAAAGAAGGAAAAACTTTAGTAGTGGGCAGATCAGGGCTAGGGGACCTTCCCTCTGGTGTCAGCCCCTTTGCACAGCCAATTCAGCCCCAGGGAAGGTGTGTGGAAGGTGGCTCCCTAGGGCTGAGGGTCTCCTTTCAATCCCATTACCCCTGGCCCCGTCATTCAGTCACTCATTCACTTAGTGCTCGGTGATTTGGGCAAATGGCTTTACATCTCTGTGTCTCAGCTCCTTCATCTGTGAAATGGAGAGAGTTGTGCAAATTATCTGAGATTAAGTGCTGAGCCTTGTGTCTTTCTGGCTCAGTAGAGTCTCCACCTATATTCTCTGCTCCACCCCTTGCATTCTCCCTGATTTCAGTTCTTAGGCACCACTACCCTATAAACTTCACCTGGCTCTTTAGGCTCCTGGCCCCATGGCTCAATGGTCAGGACTTTCACCCAGGAATCATGCTGGCTGGCAGAGGAGAATCTTAGAAAAAAAGACTACTGACATGTGTACTACAATCTTTCTATGCATTCAGTTCCACATTTCCTTATGAAAACAATAAATGCCATTATTCCCCATTTTACGGATATCATTAGGAGGCCAGCACTAGAATGGTTAAGTAATGCTGGGAGCAGTGGCACCTGCCTGCAATCCTAGCTACTCAGAGACTGCAGGGAAGGACTGCAAGTTTGAGCTCAGTCTGGGCTATTAGATGAGACCTTGACTCAAAATAAAATATAAAAAGACTAGGGATATAGCTTCATGGTAAAGCGTGTCTGAATTTGTTTCATCCCCAGTACATTAAAAAAAAAAAAAAAAGTGACTTGTTCGTGGTGGTTACAACAACGTGGGTAGGGGCAGCGCCTAAATTTGTGCTGGGTAGAAACAGCCTCCACCCTTTTATGTAGGGGGTTTATTTATGAATCCTGGCTTCAGAGCTCAGGAAACTCCCAGGGGTCTGACAGCTCCTCTGAGGTCATGCAAACAGGATGATCCTTCCTTATCCACACTCAACTCCACCCAACTGTGAACCCCGCAGCCAGCACGTGGGTATCGGAGATTATCTCATTTCGGAAGGCTTCAGGGCAAAGACCCCACATGTGGAAAGCAAAGAGCACGCCACAAATGACAGTCCAGCTTTTAATCAGAGTCGAAGGCTGGCACAGCCATGCCAAAGAAGGGCGCAAAGTACAGTACATCGGCTCAGTTTATGCAAAATAAAATTGACTGGAGTCCGCTCCCAGTCAACTGCCAGCGACCGGGTTTTCCAACCCACTGGGCCCAGCGTTCCTCGAGGTCCCCCCGTAAGGGACCCCAGTTCAGCCCTGGCGGCACCTAGAAGGCTGTCGGGTCCCCCCTCAAAGAGCCCCGCAGGCCCCGCCCCCGGCCCCGCCCCGTGCTCGAGTGGTCCCGCCCCTCCTGGGCCGGCGGACTCAGTCCAGCGAGCGC